AATTAAGATAAAAATTAACAGGTGGTCATCTGTTAGTATAGATGCTGTTGTTTGGTAAAGAGGAAAAGGTAGAAAACAGTGAAATAGGATAAAGGCCCATGGAAAACAGAAAGAATAGACATCCACTCTTGCAGGAAGTGGGTAGTGTCTCAGAAACAGGGCTTAGCTCAGGGAGCTAGTCTCAGAAGAGAACTGAAGACAATTTCCCATCATGAGTTTGAGAAAAGGAGACTTGAACTGAGTCTGGGCTAGACAGAGAGGATGTGATGAGATTTAATCCATGGATGGTGGTGAGGGAGAGGGAGAGAGAGAAACTGTGGTACCTGGAAGCCAGCCTGAACAACAGCAAGTGAGGAGAGGTGGGCAAAAGATGGGCACCAAGAAGAGACCAGTGTCACAACAGCTGAAAACTATAGAAGAAGAGCGTGATGGTGTTTTTTCTGCACAGATCCTCTGAAGGGCACCTGGTTTCATCCTGCTGTGACCAAATACTTGACAGACAGAACCAAGGAAGAGAGATTTGCTTTGGCTCCTCGTTTCAGAGTTCGATCTGTGACAGCTTGGGACGAACATCAGAGCTGCACAAGCTTGTGATAGAGGAAAACTATTCACAGCTAGACAGGAAGCAGAGGTGGGGAGGAGTGGCCAGAGGTGATAAACACCTCAGGAACCCACCACCGAGTGACCTAGATTCTTCAGCTTGTCCCCACCTCATTTCCAGGCTCTGTCTTCCATTTGTCATGTTTGGGTTACAAATGTTCACATAGAGCAAAGGGTCCATGCTAGCTGGGATGTCCAGAGCCTCCCGAATAGTACCACCTGCTGGCTTGAAATCCTGAGCCTGGGGATGAGCCTCTGTATTCTCTCCATGCAGCCGTAAAGGATCTGTAGAGACATGGCTTATGTCCAGGACTGAAGCAGGCTCCTCTCAACCTGGGACTTCACCTGTTTCTACAAAGGCACATGTGCATATGTCTACACATGTACCCAGCGTGTTCCTGTGAATGTGTTTATGTACATTTAAGAGATCCTGAAGAGGCACACAGCAAAACGTTATAACACTTGTCTGAGGGAAGAGATTTATTGATGACTGCTTTATCTTTACTTATTCATGTTTCTCCATTTTTCTACAGTGCCTTTGTGTGTGCATGTGTGTGTACAGAATCTTGATACTCCTGATCTTCCTGCCGCAATCTCCCTAAAGCAGGTGTAGGCCACATATGGTTGGCTTTAACATCAACTTGCCGTAAATTAGAATCACAATGAGTAGGGAGCTTCACCTGAAGAACTGTCATGATTGCCTAGATGGATGTGGGAAGACCCACCCTGATTGTGGGCGGCACCTTCTGGTAGCGGCAGATAGAAGGGGTGTGGCAAAGGAAGTCCTCTAGTCTTTCGCTTGGCTTCCCTCTAGTTGAGAGTTGTTCTCTTCCTGCTGATTCCTTCGCTGATGGCAGAATCAGTGTTTCCAGGCTTTCATCATCAACTAGGGACCAGTTGTTCTCCAGGAACCTTCCAGTTCCTTCCAGACTGCTAAGACACCCCGCCTATGGACTGAAGAACTTCTGGTTGTCGGGCCACCCCCAAGAGACATCCATGTAGGACTCTTCTGACCCCTGAGCACCCAGCCTCAAGGACTGAGCAACTGAGCTACCTGGCCCTCAGCTCTCGGATGTGACTTGGTCATTCCTGGCCCTCAGCTCTCAGGTGTGATTCTTACTATTTTGAAGCTCACTTAAGAACGTCTGATACACATTTTTTGTCCTATAGGTTCTGTTTCTCCAGAGAACCCTGACTAATGCAGCCGCCATGCCAAGCGTTTACTTGAATGTTTTTTCATTATTTTTTTGTTTTTTTGGTTGGCATCTGGCAAATTTCTTACCAACGAATTCGTAGCTGTGGTCTTGGGAGTTGAGAAGTCGCACATGTCCTGTTCCTACACTGCTGTATTGCAAGGTGCCAGTGGGGCATGGCGTTCCCAGTGTCTGGTGCACCATAGCACACCTCAGGGATGGTTCTCTGGGTCCTCATTCTCACCAAACCAACCAAAAATAAATCCACAAGGTGCTGGCTTGCTGGCACTGGAGCACACAGCCCCTCCATTATCAGACTTCTCTATTCAGTCCAGATAGCTATATGCTCACTGCTTGCTACCGGGGCTAGAGAGAAACTCCTTCCTCACAAAGGTCCAGTCACCCCTCAGCCAAGGAGATGGGGTTCCCCCATCAAAGCAAGAGCCCATTGTGGGCTCTAAATACTTATCAGTGGTTCTTAGGTGCCCTGCATGCCCCCACTCAACCTGAGTCTCAGAAATAAAGGAAAATAACTCAAATGGTCTTTCTTAGATGAGCCCATTGAGATACACATATACAAAAGGACACTCCTTGCACCTAAGGATGTGAATTTGGTATCAGATGGTTCGCAAATGGTTAGCTTTACACATAGGGCCTTTTTTTTTTTTTTTTTACCACAATAACCCAACAAGGGCAGTTATATTAACCTCCATTTTATAGATGGGGAAACTGAGGCTTACAGAGGTTAAGGAAGTTGCTCAAGAGCATATGAGGGGAGAAGTGTTAGAATGTAGCCCTCCTAGATCCTGAAGCCATCCATGTGTGTATTTCATTTACCAACGAGCTTCCACTTTCCCTCAAGGAAATGGCTATATGGGGATGTGCACATGATGGTTATGATAAACGGCGCTGGTGGCGGCGCTGGTTACTGGCAGAAAAGGCACGGGCCACGGCCACGACTACCAGGGTTATAAAGAGCTTTATTAGAAAGAAAGAGGGGATAAGAGGGAGGAGAGCCAGGCCTGGACAGGAAGGAAGATGGCAGGAGCAGAGAGAGAACACAGAGTGTGTGGGGGTCCGCGGCCGACTTTTTAAGACAGGGATTGCGTGACCATGTGGCGGGTACATAGTCGCCAGCGCCTGCTGATGATGTAAGACGCAAGACATAGGACCCCGAGCTGCGCATGCACAGAATCCTAGCAGGACATCTTAAGGACGTTTGTCACCAGGTTGTCTGCAAACTCGTGGCCTCCCTCTCTTTGGCTTCCTCTCCCTCCCACTTTCCACTGACGCACTCCACAAATGCACATGAGTGCGCGCGCGCGCACACACACACACACACACACACACACACACACACACACACACACACACACGTACACGTAGTATCCCTGGAATAACTGCTTACGTTTCAAGGGCCTAGTGGGCTGCAGAAGAGCCCGAGGGAGCCACCAGCACAGATAGGCGCTGCCTACCCACTGCTCTGGATTGAGGGCTGAAGATCTTCTCTGGCATCGAGGCCCCTCCCCTGTTTGTTGACTGGGGGGTTCAGCAATCATCCCCACACCTCCTAGCCAGCAGTAGCTCGCCCCAACTGTGGAGATGCTGGGAGGGCAGTCATTTCAAAGACCCTACTGTGTGCATGAGGTAGTTTCACAAGAGGATGAACTCTGGCACACCAATACAGGACCCACATGGGTGTGTGGTCTCTCTCTAACATGGCCATAGCCACCATCTGTAGGATCTGTCATGGACTCAAGGACGAGACAGTGGAAAGGGATCCGGGGACCCAGGTGTGTCTGCATCTGGAAAACCAGAGGTAAACACAGAAACGTGAGGGCACTACACAGTGGGAATCTTCCGGCCAACACCACCTCGCAGATGAACTAACTTGATTGCTTGGACTCCGGTTTTGAAACTTAACATCAAGCCCATACCCAAATATTAGGCTAGTCAGTCCCCTCCCCCTCGCCAGCCACCACAGGTTTACTTATATAAACAAATCATGTTCCCCAAGAAGGAGGCTGGAGCTGACACAGGCCGTTGTTGGGAAGGCAATTACCGTAATGAGGGAGAGCTGAGTGAATGGAAGGCTGCTCCAGCTGCTTTGTTGATAGAGGGTAATAAGGGTGCTGCCTGAGCACAGAGTTAATTTGCACTTTTCTCCACAAGCCTGGTGCTGCCCAAGCCACAACTACCCTTAGAACTGAAGCCCAGCTAATTACTCATGTTAATTACCCAGCCCCCAGGTCAGATCCCAAGGCTGGTTAAAGACAGTGAAAGGCTACGCAGCCCGTGGTTCTTGCTTAGAGCTGCACAGAGGCTAAGGCTGGATGTGTAAATCTTCCTGCTTGGTGCACACCCTCCTTTAAGAGGCATTAACTCTGCAGGGGACTGAGTTTCCTGAGAGCACCATGGCCTGCTCCCTCCTCAGGTCTCTTGAGATCCCTCAGGATCTTTTTCCCTGAGTTTTATTTTCTCTGTATAGAACATGCTAATGGGGAAAATGTTCACAAACATAACTAAACAAATTAATTAACAAGCTGAATGTGTTGGTGTCCATTTGTAATCCTCGTACTCAGGAAGCAGAAGCTGGAAGATTTGAGTTCACTGCTAGCCTATCTCCAAAAACAAGGAAAAAACAAACCCAAAGCCAGAAGGCTCCATCCACCCTGTATGATGCTTTCATTTATACACTATTCTGGAAAAGGCAAAACCACAGGGAAGAGCGCCAACCAGAGGTTGCCAGAGGTGGAGGTGGTAGTGAGAGCTGACCACAAAGGGGGAGCATGAGAGAATTTGGGGGGACAATGAGCAACTCTGGATATGATCATGGGTGTGATATACATACACCAATGTTATACATTTGTCAAAACTTGTAGAGATGTCCACCGCCAAGAGTGACTTGTTGCTCTCCTGTATAAAGTTACAGGGAAATGTAAGAAGAGACGGTGAGGTTTGCTCACTTCTTATGACAGCAATTCGAAAGTTTGTCATTACTGCTAGACATTGCTAAGATACCTTTTTCCAACAAAGGAAATCTTTGAAATTCTAGCCGATGAAACCAAATGTGGGAAGGAGAGGCTTGGCTTGCCCCGCTCGTGTGTAATGAGTGTCCTGCATGAATTGCTTCTGAAATGATTAAGCAGGTGTGGACTCCCTCACACCCACGTACCCATGTTAAACTTCATCTACAAAAACAGGGGAGCATAGACTGGAACAATTTTCCACCAAGGCCAGTCAAGTCCTAATCTCCATGACGCCAAAATACTTGGCTGCAAAATAGAAAGTGCAGCCAGTCCCCGGATGTTGTGTCTCTCTGTACCCTTCCAGTCTATGCGACTGATCGGAGACAGGCTTCAGGTTGTGGAGCTGGTGCCAGGGAGACACCATCACCATTGGCAGCTCTCTGCAGATCTATTTTCCGAGTGGTTCCTCAGCTGCCTTCACTGGGGCAGCAGGGACTTGGAGTTCTTTGTCTTCTCGTGTCAACAGCTGTTGCCTGAAATGACACATCACTGAATTCATGATGAGTTACAATAAGCACCATATTTTTCTCCTTTAGGGGGCCCTCAGAGGAACCCCTCAAAAAGGCTTGCAGCAAGGCAGCTATGACATTGGGTATTCGTTATCTCAGCCACTGAAAAGCTCGCATTTTAAGGTAAGCACACCAGAGCTGACAGACAGTTTTGCATTCATCTCTGAGGTGAAGGACTTAATCAACAAGCTAGATATTCCTCAAGTTCACGAGTCTGATACCAGCATCTGAGTAGGTTCTTGTCGCTTAACTGGGGGTTATCAGATTAGGCTGATGGATGGATGTGAGAAAGCATAGTTTAGCTACACACGGTTTTTTCCTTGTTGGGAATATGATCCAGTTAGATCCTAAGAAGCTCGAATGTGTGCGGCTGTCAGGTGGAGGCACACCTTTGATGCAGAGGCAAAAGGAGAGAGACAGAGGAGGGTTCCATGGACCCCTCTTCTGACCACAGTGCATCCTGCTGCTGCAGGTGATTGGGGGAGTCCTACTCTAGGTGAGAGCTCTTCCTCAGGTTCTAGAATCACAGGCCCTCGGGGAAGCAGAAGTCTTAAACTGGCTCTGATTAGTTTTTCTTGAGTTCAAAGACAAAAGAACAGTAAGGTCAGCATGAAAGAAAAAAGATAACAGAAAGGAGTCTATTCAAGGGGGTTACATAGAGTCTAAAATCAAAATGGCAAACAGTCACAAAACAACAACAAAAACCAACAGCTTGACTCGATTCCACCCTTTCTGCCTCACTGTGTTTACCTGTTCCCTCCAAGCTCTCCTGAGAATAAACTCATGGGGGTTGGGAAAAAGCCCAGTCAGTAAAGTGCTTGTCAAACATAAGGATCCAAGTTCGGGACTCATGTAAAAAGCTGGGCATAGCACTACTTGTGTGTAAGTAACTCCATCATGGGAAGGATGGAGACAGAAGAGGATCCTGGGGACTTACAGGATCCTGGGGACTTACAGGATCCTGGGGACTTACAGGATCCTGGGGCTTACAGGATCCTGGGGCTCACGAGCCCTAAAGGAACTGGTGACTCCAGATTTCAGTGAGAAACCCTGTCTCAAACATAAGATGGACAGCAATCGAGGAAGACACCCATCATCAACTCCTGACCTTTATGTGCACATGCACCTGTACACACACCTCACCTTTCAAAGCCTTTGGCATTTTAGCCTTCCCTGGCCTCTCAGGATTCCTCCATTCCTTGAGCATCAAAACCTTTGAAAATTTTTTTGCTTCACCCTTAAGTTCTTAGTTCCAAAGGCCCAAAGAAAATGTAACTGGTTGTGCTCATTCTTTTCCACGCCATGCCTTATTACACTGTCACTGTCTACCAGGGAGTTGACAGCCCCGGGGCCAGAGGTCAATCCAAACTACTAAGTCTGAAGTAGAATAACATGGTTCCAATCGGCAACCTTATAAGAAATAATGAGAGAGAGAGAGAGAGAGAGAGAGAGAGAGAGAGAGAGAGAGAGAGAGACAAGAGAGACAGAGAGAGAAAATGTCAAACAGTCACAGATCTTCTGATTGTTCAACAGAGCTCAGAAATCTTACATTTTATATAAAATCTCCCAACAATATCAGCTCCGATTTCATAGATGGGACAAGGATGGAGGGAACAGCAAAAATGTCCCCTTGCTTTTCCACCATCAACTGGACCCCCTCAGGACCCACCTCTCTTGAACAAGCCATAGGGAGGGGACATTAGTAGTCCTAAAGGACACCAGCTCCATTCATTTAAGATTCTGTTGTGGGCCACGAGGCGGTGGTAGTGCAGACCTTTTATCCTAACACTGGAGGCAGAGGCAGGCAGATCTCTGAGTTTGAGCCCAGCCTGGTCTACAGAGTGAGTTCCAGGACAGTCAGAGCTATACAGAGAAACCCTGTCTCAAAAAAACAAAAACAAACAAAATCAATTCTGCTGTGGGGAAAGTGGGAGCTGGACTGCCATGGTGGAGTATCCTACCACTGTGAGCAAAGCCCTGGGGTCCATCCCCAGCCCCAATAAATAAATGAAATGAAGTTAAATCCCTTCATTATTTGCGATTCTAAAGCCATCTCCCTTCTAGCATGAAGGGAAAAATTCAAGAGCCTGTTCACCCAATAGCCAAGTACATGCCTGAAGGCACAAACCTCCGCTAACACACCTGCTTCTCCTTCCGTTTCTCCACAAACCCCTCATGGGGTTCATGCCCTTCACCATCCTCCACCATCTTCTCTGAATACCCCATTTGTTAATGTCTCATTCTGGTTGTGGGAATTCAGGTCTAATGAATTTAATCCATTCAGGCTGCTATAACAAAATACTCTAGACTGAGTAACTTTTAAACAACTGAAATTTATTTCCTGATGTTCTGAAGGCTGGGGAACTCATAAAGGTATCTCAGATTGGTGTCTGGTGAATGCTGTGTCTACCCCATAGATAGGATTTTTTTTCTTTTTTTCTTTTTGAGATAGGGTTTCTCTATGTAATGGCTCTGGCTATTCTGGAACTCACTCTGTAGACTAGGCTGGCTTCCATCTCACAGAGATCCGCCTGCCTCTGCCTCCCGAGTGCTGAGATTAAAGGAGTGTGCCACCACTGCCCAGCAGATGGGACTTCTTAATGAGATCTCATAAGGGGACAAAAGCGACACCCTCTTTTATAAGGGCACTAAATCCCATTAAGAAGGGCAGAGTCTACATGACTTAATTAGCTCCCAAGAGGCTCTTAGTGCTACTACATGGCATTTCTGAGCCCAGAGATTGTAACATGTTCTCAGCTTGAAACATCACACCTCTCATGTAACTTAAAACTGGATTCTAGGTGGCAAGCTCACACTACCAATCCCTGCTGTGTATAAACATGCTCAGCAAGCTGTGCTATTTATTTGTGTGGTACTTTTCTCCTGACCACTTACTAAGAGTGATTTTCTTTTCTCCTTTCCCTGGTGAAGTAGGGTCCTTGAAACCTGAGTAAATAAAGGCTGAGGAGGCAGCTCGGTTCGTAAAGTGCTTGTTGTACACGCACAGTGACCTGAGTTTGATCCTCTGCACTCCTGTAAAAATAAATCTGGGCATGCTGGTCTGTACCCGTAATCCCAGTGCTGGGGAGGCAGAGACAAGCAGCTGTCTGGGACTTGCCGGTCAGTCAGCCTTGGCAAATCAGCAAACTCTAGGTTCAGTGAGAGACTGTCTCAAAAATTAAAGTGAAGAACAATTGAGGAAGACACTTGGCATCCACCTGTGGCCTTCACACACACACACACACACACACACACACACACACACACACACACACACATGCACCTCTCATATCCATCATTCCTATTAACCCTCACCCAGTCAGTCCATCAGCCAATGGCTCCCTAAACCCTCCCGTTCCTGTTGCTCTTGTGAAAGCGTCCTCATTGACTACTCACACGCACGTCCTGCGCCACAGGCATGGCAACGGGGCAGTCCTACTGGGATTTTCAACTTTCTTCCCATTCTTCCTTTGCTGTTTCCCTCACAAGGTCACCAGGATTCCAGTTACTCTCTTAAGTCTTGGTGTTTCTCCCCACCCCCACCCCCACCCCCACCCCCACCGCACAGTTTCTTTGCATGCCCTGGGAGTCTGGCTTTTTCCATGGGAGCTTGGAAGCCTCTGCCTCTGAAGTTCAGGGTACATATCTGGGTGTTCTGTACATCTCTTCAGAGTGAGACAAGCAGGCATTTTCTCCTCGCATCTCATCTCTGCATCTCCCATCAACGGTCCTTTGTTGGACAGAATTAAGTTCCCAGCAACGGTTTCCGGCATTGCTCCTTCTGGCTTCTGAGAATTAAAACAGTCAGCATGATCCGTTTCCAGCTATGATGGAGCGGATGATATCAGATTAATTCCCCACTGAGAACAACTATAACGCTGGATTAAATACAAAGGCCAACTGTTGGAAGGCCCTGGAAAAAAACCAAAGCAGTGAGGGCCCCACAGAGGACAAAATCCTCAAGACACAAGAAATGCATTGACAAATGCCTGACATTCAAGGCACAGACCTCACAACACTATACATACCCTACAGATATAACACACATGCATACTATACACACCCACTCATAACATACGCACCCCACCATACTATACACACCCTATTCATAGCATACACACTCCACTATACCATGCATACCCCACAGACATAACACACACATACACCATACACACCACACCACACCACACCATGCATACCCCACCCATACTATACACACTCCACCATACCCGTACCATACATACCACACACAGCCCTATTTGAGTTCCTGTCCTGACTTCCTTCAATATAAACAGTGATATGGAAGTATAAACTAAATAAACCCTTTCCTCCCTAACTTGATTTTTGGTCATGGTTTTTCATTGCAGCAATAGAAACATTAAAACACACACACATACTCCCATCCATACATATCACACATAATATACACACACAACACACACCATGCATACACATACATCACTCACACACATACCATACTACCATGCCATCTATAAACCACATATACATATACACCACACATACATATACACCGTACACACACACACACACACACACACACACACACACACACACACACACACTGCAGACTTCTCAGTCATGTGTGTGCTGACTTGATATCACTGAGATTGAGTGAGCGCCATGCACTTGGGAAGTATTTATAGACTTGGGAGAGGAAGGAAATAGGATTTGGGGCCTATTTCTGATGATGCTGCAGAGAGTTCTGGAGCTTGAGAAACCCTTTCTAAGTCTACAGATTCAGGGCCAGGTATTAGATGCTAAACAGAAAAAGAACTGTAGCTGCCCTGACCACAGGAAAGGGAAGAATTTTCTTTAGGAGAAAAAAAATCTCCAAAGAGAGCTTCCAAGTAACTGAGGTCTTGGGTCCTTCAGCCCTGGGGAGTTCAAACTGTGACTCACAGCAGCATCATACCGAGGCTCAAGAAGCTGGGTTTTGTTTGTTTTTGTTTCTGTTTTTGTTTGGGGGGATTGTGTTGTTTCGAGACAGGGTTTCTCTGTGTAAAAGCCCTGGCTGTCCTGGATCTCACTCTGTAGCCCAGGCTGGCCTCAAACTCACAGAGATCTTCCTGCCTCTGCCTCCCGGGTCTGGGATTAAAGGCGTGCGCCACTACACCTGGTATGCTTGTTCACATCTTGATGGACCTGGCTCCCTCTTTCTTTACCTTTCTTCACTTTGGGCCTCCAGACTGTGGGTGGTCCCACTCATACTCAGGCTAGATCTACCCTTCTCAGTTAATCCTCTCACAAAATGCCCTTGAAGACACACCCAGAAGCGTGTCTCCTAGGAGGATTCTAAATCCAGTCTAGTTGATAATGGAGCTTAACCATCACAGCAAATAACCAGTTCTTAACCATATCAGATAATACTTCTCCAGCCTTCCAGAAAAGAAAAAAAAAAAAAGAACTTTAATCCTCCCCTAAAAGGAAGATGACATCATCCCGGCTCTGGGATTGTTTATGCACAATGTCTAACACTCAGTTTTAAAGCTACCAGACATACCAAGAGAAAGCAGTAAGTGGAAAATAGAAACAGAGGAGGTGGGAAAAGATCAGTTAGAAAGAGACAGAGATGGTGTATACTAGAGTTGGCATGGGGACCTTAAATAACGATGATCAAGAGCGTGAGAAAACAAAGAGAAAGACAGGGAGTTTCTTCCCAGCAATGAAATCCGTAAGAGTAAAGTGGGACTCCCAGAAGTAAAAAATTAGAACAGAAATTAAGAACTCTGGAGATTAAAATTCAGTCATTGACACCTGAAGGCAGGAAAGCAGCTCAGAAAAGAGGAGGGTAAAAATGTCCATAATGAAGTGTCACAGAAGGAGAAACATGTTTGTTTTTTAATTTAACAGACAAATGAGAAACAGGAAAGGGCATCTAAAGTAAACTGCAGGTCTACATGGGGACCCAAGTGAAAATGGAAAAGAAACAATCATAAATACAAAAAGTGATGGGGAGCGTTGCTCGGAACTGACAGGTTTAAGAAGCATGGGGTGGCTGAAGAGTTGAGTTGAGCCCTTCCTTGTGCCCACTAATGTCCCTGGGCAGTCATGGGGCTGTGTCACCACCAGGTGAGGCTGAGGTTAAGTCCTGGTCCTACAGATCTCAACCCAAACGGGATGGATCAAAAGCCTTGGCTACAAATGTTATGCTGTATTCCTTCTCGGACCCGTGCTTATCATATTCATTCTTAATGTTCACCTGGGAAATCTCCTCCAGGACAATGCGAACCCTGGAGGGAATGAGGAGGTCCAGAGAAACATATTTAGACTCTAGCAGCTAGAGGGAAGATACCTGGCGCCTTGGGTAGTTGTGAGACATGAACTATGACCGGTGACAAATGAAAGAGCAGTAGAGAGAAGAAAGTTCCAGAGAAGACAGAGCCACAGGCACTGAAGCCTTCCAATGTGCTTGATTTGTTTGTGTGTGTATTCTGACAGCTGGTCTTGTACTCAGGGAGACTCAGCTCCTTCAGCTTCTGGCCTCCTTCAGCCCCAGAACTCCACCATGGCCCTGCTCTGCCACATTGTGGGTTAATAGGTCTTCTGAGCTGGCCAGGGGCCCACCCTCCATCAGTAACACAGTGTCTATGGGAACACGTGTTCAGGTTTCAATGGTGCACTTACAAATGACCTCAGAACACAATTCACTCCCAGTTAGCATCTGCCTGTACATGAGAAGTTACATAATAGCAGCAGACTGTGGCCTCATCGTGAGGCCAAAGGAGCATGGGAAACCACAGAGCCCGGAATTCTAAAGAGATGTATTCTTGCAGGTGGAGTGGGGTTTTCCTGGAAGCATTGGGCCAGCTCTGAAGCACAGACCGGCCTCTGATAGTCCCAGCAAAGGAAGGCCAAAAAAAAAAAAAAAAAGCAATGGAGATACATGGACAAATGTGTAGGGAGAGGCAAGGAGTTTTGGAATCACCTTCAAGCTACAGAACACTGTCATTAGATATTCAAAAAATATACATGAGAGACTGGGAGACAGCTCAATGGGAAAGACACTTGCTGGGCAAGCATGAAGAACTGAGTTCAAATCCCCAACACCCATATAAAAAGCTGGGTGTGGGCATGCACCTGTCACCCCAGCACTTGCAGGCTACCAGCCAAGCTGCAGCTTCAGTGAGAGACCCTGTCTCAAAGGGAAGGAATAATAGAGGGTGCCCAGTGTGTACCTGCACCACACACACACACACACACACACACACACACACACACACACACACACGCAAAACACACATACAAAACATACTTAAATAACACATGAACAACAGCAATCTTTGCATTGATCCCCAATACACTTCTTGCTTTGGTTTCTAATGAGATCATGGGGAAAGAAGCTCCGATTGTACCTGGAAGTCCCTGGAATTCCCTGGGAAGCAGTTTGTTTTGCTGTTGTAGAGGCTCCTGCTCTGTCTGCCAGGCCATTCTCCACGCGTGCTCAGGAGCTTGGCTCTTTATGCCTGCTCACCACAGCCCAGGCCTCTGTTTAGGTTAGTCAGGCTCCAGGAACATTTATGAGACCCAGTTAGGTGCCGGGCCCCATGATACATACCGGGGTGACAGCTCGCATGAAAGACAGCCCACTTTTGAGCTTCAGGGAAGAGAAAGGAGGGTCAGGAAAGCAGCACTGTACCGGGTGGGTATCAGAGCCAAGGCTTCCAGGGAGGGGGCCTAGAGAAGAATGAGGCCAAGAGCTTCACTGAGGGGAAGGACACCCCAACTTACGATACCCAGGAGTGTGGGGGTCGGCTCTCCTGCACGTTGTTTCCATCACCACATACCAGGAAGTGACACAGTGTAGTTAAGAACCCGAGCTGGGAGTGGGGCAGGCCTGGGCCGCTTCTAGTTCCTCAACCTGGAAGTTGTGTTTTAGTTCCCATGCTGACCAGATTGGACCGGAAGTTGTGTTGTAGTTCCCATGCTGACCAGATTGGACCGGAAGTTGTGTTGTAGTTCCCATGCTGGCCAGATTGATCTGGATATTGTGTTTTAGTTCCCATGCTGACCAGATTGGACCGGAAGTTGTGTTGTAGTTCCCATGCTGGCCAGATTGGACAGTGCTTTCCAAGTCTCATCTGGAAGATCAAGGGGACAGGAAGCTGTTCCTGGAATGTGGCAGGTGAGTTCCCATGTCATTTCCTTTTCTGTTGTTGTGATAAAACACCACGACCAAGAGTAACTTGCCCAAGAGTTAGTTTTGGCTTAGGGTTCCAGAGAGAGAGTCCATAATGGAGTAGCTGCCCAGAGCAGGAAGCTCTGTACACAGGAGGCAGAGACAGAGAACAGGAAGTGGGGTGAGGCTATAAACCCTCAAAACCTACCCCCCCCCCACTCCCACCCCTGGTGATAGACTTCTTCCAGCAAGACTCCAGTCCTAAAAGTCCCAGAACTTCCCCAAACAGCACCACCCACTGGGTGTCAAGTGTCCAAATCCATGAGCCTATGAGAGGTGTTTCTCACTCCAACCACAACAGTTCCCACGTAGGGTTAAGGC